GTCTGGAGGAGCCCCGTGGCTTCGGTGGCGCGGGACGACATGACGGTAGTCGGTCGGAGGCCAATTGGGAAATGAGCGTATTGCCGAGACGTGGCTCAGGCTAGGTGCACCCCATCTGCTTTGGTCCCAGGTGGAATTTACTCACAGCGCGGACCCTTCGGATGCGCGCTGTCGACTCTTTCGGCCATGTGGCTCGGGCCAATCAGAGCGCGCCAAGTTTCCAAGCACCAATCACAGTGGCTATAGTTTGAGAAGCGTGTGCCAGTGGCGAGTTTGCCCTTGGCCTCAACATCTTGTCTGGTTGCGCACCTTCGTCGACGTCAAGACCAACTGGCGCCACGCAGAAAACGACGCTGAACCTCCTTTGAGAGGTCGTCTAGATCCGTGGAAAAGACGGCTTGCTCTTGACGCCAAGCGCAAGTCCAACGCCGAGTAACAATGAAGTTGTTGCTGCGTCTGCATAAAACGCGCAGCCGTGCAACGGCCGAGGATGTGCACCTTGGACTCCCTCAGAGCGCATTGCGTACTCAGCTACTCGCGGTCACCAAGCTGTCATCGTGTTGGACGATGCGTCGCTTCCTGCTTGGCCTACAACGGCGCGCAGCAGCAGCGAGGCAAGTTTGTCGTCGCGGTTGGGAGCCATCACCGCGCCCAGTACAGTACGAGCCGACTTGCACTTGTGAAAACGACCAGAAACCCCTTCAGCCATCCACTCGCAGCGCAGCGCGTCCAACGCTCTTGCCCTGCGCGCGGCCTTGGTTCTGCATGGAGTATATATGTGATCGAGTTGGTGCCGATGCGATCTTTTGCGAGGGTCCCCACCATACGACGATCCGTCACGGGTGACGTCACCTGCGTCTCGGCCAAGGCAAAAGGTATCCCGTCATCTAGATTGATATCTAGGATCGTTCAGGGCCATGTCTCGGCCAATGCGCGGGTGCGGTCGAATTTTAAGCGAACCCATTATTGGTGTTGAAGACAGGTTCCGCATGGTGCTTGCATTTTCTTTCGCGTCCGACGACGCAGTCGCTCTCTGAAACACCTAGTGCAGCCTCCACCTCCTGCAAGGACGAGGTCCATGCCCAATGGAACGAATACCTCTACAAACGAATGCAGTCCGAGTCGTTGCATCGCGTAACGGGTTGTCAACGTGAGCATCATGAGCACCACACCGCCGCTCGGGGTGACGCTCGCCTTCTTCGACGCCTTTATCGCATCCAACGGCGGCGAGGCGGCATTCGTCGGCCTCACAACCGCCCAAGTGAGCACGTCCTTCTTGATGCCGACGACTGCAGCCACGAAACTCTCGCTCGTCGAGCAGCTCAAGAACGACCCTTGCGTGCAGCCTGCGCGTTACTTTGTGTCGCACGCGTGGAAGTACTTCTTTTTGGACGTCCTCGAGAGCCTTCGCCTCTTCTTCGTTGACAAACCCATCGCCGACCACATTGTCTGGTTTGATCTCTTTTGCAATTCGCAGCACGACACGACCATCAAGCCCTTCTCGTGGTGGACAACAACGTTTCGGAGCTCGATCGGCGCCATCCAAAACGTCATCATGGTGCTTTTGCCGTGGGACCGACCGATTCCGCTCACCCGCGCGTGGTGCGTCTTTGAGATCTTTGCGACCGTCTCGACGAAAAGTGCCTTTCATGTCGCGATGACGCGCGCCGAGACGGAGAGGTTCGCCGATCACGTGAGCGTCGACACCTTCTACGACATGCTGGGCCACGTCAAGAGCGAAGCGTGTGAAGCGTTCCGGCCCGAGGACAAGGCGCAGATCGCGGCGGCGATCGTCGATGCGATTGGGTTTACGGCCATGGACAACATGGTGTTTCAGGTCTTTGGCGCGTGGATGGCAACGACGCTGCAAGCCAAGATTGCATCGACCTCGAATGTGCTCCAAGCCAACTGGCAGCTCAAACTCGGGTCGCTGTGCCAAGCCCAAGGCAAGTTTGCCGACGCTGAGCGGCTGATTGACGCGGCGGTTGCCACCAAGAAGCTGTGCGCGGGCCATGACGCCGCCGAGACGCTCATTGCGATGGAGCGGCTGGCGACCTTGTACAACGAACAGGGCCAGTTCGCGCGCGCTGAAGAGGTGCTTCGACACTGTCAACTGGGCTGGGAAAAGCTCGGCCACGCCGAGACGGCGCCGGCCGCCATCATTGCGCTCGAGACACTTGCGACGACGCTGCAGAACCTCGGCAAGTTCGATGATGCCGAGGCCATTTACGTCAAGTGCATTGCGCACCGCCAGCAGGTGAGTGGCGACAACCACGAAAGCACGCTTGTCTGCAAGTGCAATCTCGCGACGCTGTACGAAGAACGCGGCGAGTACAGAAAAGCATCGCCGCTCTTGACCGAGTGCTTGGCCGCATCGATTGCGACGCTTGGCCCCGACAACCCGCGGACACTCACGCTCAAGAACAACGCGGCGGCCAATTTGAACTACTTGCGTCACTTTGACGCCGCCGCCGCGCTATACGTCGAGTGCCTGAACGACAGCGAGCGTCTCTTAGGTGGCGACCATCCGAGCACGCTAGCAACCATGAACAATGCGGCCGCCAACTTTGCGGCCCATAAAAAGTTGACCGACGCCGAGGCGCTGTACACGACATGCGTCGAGCGGAGCAAGCGCGTGCTCGGACCGGAGCACCCGAGTACATTGAAGACGATAAACAACCTCGCGAGTTTGCTTCGGGAGGCCGAAAAGACTGACGCCGCCGAGGTCTTGTTTCAGGAGGCGCTCGCAATCAGCACCAAAGTGCTCGGCCCGTCGCACCCCAATACGCTCACGACCATGTCCAACCTCGGCCGGATGTACGAGCAGGTAGGCAAACTAGACGCGGCACTAGCGCTCCTTGTCCCTTGTCTTGCGTCGCGTCGCCAAGTGCTGCCGCCCGAGCACCCTTGCATCGCCAAGACCATCTTGTCCGTTGCGCTGCTATTTGAAGCCAAGCACGAGTTTACTGCCGCGGAGCCGCTTTTGCGCGAGTACTGCGCGCTCCAAACGCGCCTCCTTGGGGCCACGCACCCCGAGACGATCTTCGGACGCTTTACACTTGCCGAGCACTTGGTCAAAAGCCATGCACTCGAGGACGCCGAAGCCATCTTCCTCGAGTGCGCTGCCAGTGCCTTGCCGACATTTGGCCCCAGCGCCCCCGAAACAAAGCACTTTGAAAGCGCGGTCGAGGTCTTCTACCTCAATCGAAGTCAAACAAGCATGAAGGCGAAAGAGTGGGGCGACGCGGCGCGCGACCTGGCGGCACTCGAGGCCTTTGGTACTACCCACCCGCTGAGCGCCAGAGCCACGGACGCGCTCCGTGTCCTCAAGCAGCACCTACCCGTGGGCGCACCGCACAAGGTCGCGTCGTCGACGGGCTAAGAACGTAGCCGCGATGCCAATCGGACTACGAGTACCGATAAATTTCGAACAAAAAAAAGAACATCCCGGCGGCAAAGTGCAATGTGGTGGGAAACGTGAAAAATACACGGCGATCCATCCAGCAACCGCCGACGATCCATCGTGTGGCTGCCACGCCATTGCCAGTCAGGCGCTGAAGCATGTCGCAGACGCTGTGCCGTTCGCGCGCGTGGATGCCCGCTGGGACCCGCGTGCCGCTGGCCTATCGAGACGGCGCTTTCCATTTCAAATTATATCATCGCGTTGCCAGCCATCCGCCCGCCACATAGTGCGCTAAACCGAGTGCAAGGACAGTACAAGTTCACAATGCCACGCAGCGTCGCGTGATAACTCAGCTGCGGCTTGAGCACGAGGTCAACTGCTTGATTTCGAACGCGTCCACTCCTTCAACGTGAAAAGCCACATTTCACACATCAAATCTCACGCCAAGATATGTTCCAGACCGGGTTCACCACACATTGCAAGCAACGGCGTTCAAAGCTGGCATGGCGTCCGAGACCGAGACGACGCCGCTGCGCATGCAGTACATCTTGGCCAAGGCATCGCGCTGGCAGCCATGGAAGGCGACAAGTCCGACGCACCGGTTTTTCCTCCTTCTTTGCGTGTGCTGGGTCCCATTTGGCGGTCATTTCGTCAAGGTACTCTATCTTTGAGGTCGTGCGACTGCAACTATTCCTGCTGCTGGCATAGAATGGCATGTCTTCGCTCGAGCAGCTCATGCTCGACGATCCCACGTACCCGATTTCCAACACGATGTACGGCGCGATCAACTCGGCCGTCTCGGTGCCCAACATGGTACTGCCATTTCTCGGCGGGCACATGCTCGATCGAAAAGGGTCGGGCTGCATTCTCTTCTTCCTCGTGCTCATGAGCTGCGGCCAAACGCTCTTTGCGTGGGCTATGGGCGCCCACCAGTGGTCATATGCGCTTGCGGGGCGCATCATCTTTGGCATGGGCGAAGGCAGCGTTGTTGTCGGCGCCCGCGCGATCGTCGCCTACTGGTTTGACGCGTCCGAGCTCACGTTCGCCATGGGTACCATGGTCGCTGTGACCAACGTCGCCAAGATGCTCGCAAAGGCCACGGTCGCGCCCGTGGCGCTGCACTATGGCGGGTACGTCTACGGCTTTTGGTACGGCGATGCGATCTGTCTTGGGTCGCTCCTCTTTGCCATCGCGGTCGTCCGCATCACGCGCGTACTCAAGCGGCTCAAGAAACGCCTCAAGTTTCAAGTGCGGACCGGCGCGCCCTTTGATCCGACACTGCGCTGGCTCAAAATGTACTTTGTCGTGCAGCACAAGCCGACACTCGAGCGCCTCGGGCACACGACGCTGCGCGACTTTACCGGCTCGTTTCCGGCGATGGTAGGCTGTATTGGTTTTGTATCAAGGTATCGAGCTGAGTGCAACTTGCTAGTTTTGGATCGTCGTCGCACTCCACGTGACGTTCATCAATGTGTTCCACCTCTTTCAGAACATTTCGGCCAGCTATCTCTACCAAGTGCACGGCTACTCGATCGTCAACGCGGGCTACATGAGCAGCCTCTCGCACTCACTCGTTATGTTTTCGCCGTTCCTTGGACTCCTCCTCGACATGGTCGGCGGTCGGCTTGTCTGGGTCATTCTCTCGACGCTCTGCGGCGTCATGGCTTATGCGTGGCTCATCTTTACGAGTTGGACGCCGATCGTGCCGCTGCTCCTCATCTCGCTTTGCCTCTCGACGACGCCCGCCGTCCTTATGGCCAGCATCCCGCTCACGATCCCGAAGGAGCGCTTTGGCATCGCGTTTGGCATCGTCGAGGTCCTCGACGCCTTCGGGGCCACGTGCGGCAACGTCCTCGTCGGCTACCTCCGTGATACGACCGGCGCGTTCGACTACGACCTGTATTTCTTCCTCTTTTTGGCCGTCACGGCGTTTGGCTTGAGCCTCCTCTTGTATGTGCAAGACGCGCACCACGGCGGCGTGCTTGGCGCGCCGACGTACAAGCCGCGCGCCCGGTCGATTTGCGACGACGCCGACGCCGTCGTCGACCTTGCCCAGCTGTACGTAGAGACGGACAGCGAAGCGAGCCCGCCACCGCGTCGCTTTCATTAAGAACACCGTCGCTGTATACAGTACTACGATGCATAATGCAAAACACGACCACTGTGTGGCGCAGTCCAGCGCGGGTTGGGGTTTGAACGGGTTGTGCCAAGCTGTACGGTGCAGTGGTCGGAAGCCAACGAGAACATGAGGCAAGATACCATCTCCGAGTACTGTGATAGGCCTTGCGATAGCCTGGACCGACGAGGCGGCGGAAGGGGACAAGAGCCACCCATGGTAGCGTCGCCACCGTGCCTCCTCCAGTTTGCACCAGACGTCCTACGCGCCATCGGCGACAGCTTTGCCGACTAGGCCAATAGTTTTTTCGTCTATAATAGCGCAGCTTGACAACTATACTTTGACCACAAGGTATTTGCTGCAGTGGGTGCAGACACGACAGCGTCACGGGGTACCTTGGCGCTTCTCGCTGGCGCCGTCAAAGTTGAAGCGGGCGGCTGACTCGTCGCGACCTATTTCCTTAATTGAGTTGTCGACGGGCCGTGGCGCGGCGCGCACCGTTGTATTCAGCAGTCGTCTGTACTTTTCTAAGCGAATCGCTGCGGCGGTTTGTAGAAAAAAGATGCAATTGTCGCCGTGAAATAAATATTTTCAATATTTTATCGTTTTCCATTTGTATTAGATTACATACAAAGCTTAAGGTCGGTCATGTATTTATTTCAAGCCGAGATTAAAAGAGAATTATTTTTTCGTTGCTTTCGATGCCCGAAAGACAGGCCGCGGTTTTGTATCAAAAGCGGCCCATTTTTGCAGCGTCCGAGAGCCGAGCATGAGCGCGACCGTGGCCGAAGCTCAAGCGCTGCGCAAGAGCCTCGAGCGGCCGCCCGTCGACACGTCGCAGTCCGACATCTTCTTCCAGCAGTTCGCCATGTTCGCCGCCATCGGCCGCCAAGAAGAAGCGCGCGTCTCGACGGCCAAAGCCCGGCAAGAAGCCGAATTTATGAGCCTGCTCTACGCCTACTTTTCGGGCTCGGACCCCGCGAGCTACCGCCAGTTCTTCGAAACGCCGCGGGCACGTGCACCGCCGCCCATGTCGCTGACGACCAAGCAGGTGCCGCCGTCGCCGCAGGTGGCGACGCCGCCGACAAGCAGCAACAGCTCAATGTCGCCGCTGCACCTCCCGCGCATGCTACCAGTCGTCACGCCGACGTTGCATCTCTCGACGCCGCCGGCGTCAACCAACCCCAAGCCGACGGCCAGCTACCACATGGACCTCCCGGCCTCCACGTACACGGAGGCGCGCAGCCGCCAGCCCGCCTACAGCATCTCGTCGACCACAGCAACGGTACCGGAGGAGTACGACGAGCACTACGACAATAGCCCGACGAGCTCGGTCGACGACAACAACCACAGCCACCACGACGACCCGAGCCACCACAAGCACGAGGCCGAGAACCGATTCGACGTTGTCTTTCAGCAGCAATCCATGGGCATGAAGCTCGGGTACGACCCATTGAAGAAGTGCGCGGTCGTCAAGGAGAGCTTTGACGGCACCGAGTCGAAGAAGTACACGCAGATTACGAGCGGCGTCATGATCCTCTCGGTCAACGGTACGCCTCGCTGATCTTTGCTCTTGGCTGATGCAGCTCAAAATGCGTAGGGCTCTCGCTCTGTGGCATTAGCCTTTCCAAGATCATGTCGCGGCTCCGCGAGGCGCAACGCCCGGCGGTGATTCGCTTTGAGCGGCCGCTTGCCTCCTAATGACGCAAACGACTCGCTTCTCTTGTGTGTATAACTTAAAAGCGCTCGATCCTTCGCGCTCCCGTCTTGAGTCTGGTCCAAAGTCCCAACGCTACGACGAATTCGTAACCAGCACAAGTAGCACACCAAGGCGTGCGTGTCACGTGCCAGCGTCCATTATCATGGCGATGGGCAACTGGGCTTATCGTCGCACGTAACAGGCCACAGAGCAACGGGTCGGCGTTCCCACATGCCGACTGGCGTGTTGGTAGTTACGATGGACCCAAGCTTGCCACGACGTCGTGACGCCCCGCGGTAGCGTAGCACACGTACAATACAGCACAGCCTGCTCCTGGCTGTCGATAGCAACTACATGTATGTCATGTATGTCTACGGTCAAGATGGTCATCGGAGCAGTTCGCTGGTGATGACCACGGAATGCTGTTGCACCCTCTTCTTGGTGACGGAGTACAAAGCGAAATGGAAGGCAGCGGGTGAATGTATGGAGCATCGACGACATCAAGCTAGCTGTTAATGCTATAGAGACGTCCACATACTACGTTCTACGAGTCTTGGTATTCGAACGCTGGAATGATTCAAGAAGCTCAGTACGGGACGCAGCGAGCAACGGAGCAGCATTGTGGAAAGCAATCATGCCCCGTGCACTGCCTATGATGTGCTG